ATTTATAGCAGATTCCGTCAATTCCTCACCATTGATCTTATTTACATCAACGGCTAAGATTACAAGCAATTATAACGGCAGCCAGTTATTATTCACCACTGAGTCTGTTCGTTTCCCACTGTTAGATCTGGACACACGTCCGCAGAAGATGATTCAGACCAGACGTGTAGCAGTTATTTTGGCTGACGGTTCAACTGCGCGAGGCAAAACTGTTCCACTCCCCACTATTTGCCATCATTGCCACTACCACGTCTACAGACAAAACTTTAATGTTTTGCTGCAATACAGATCGATTTCTTTTCAGATCGATATTTCACTCGACCTAAAAAGAGGGGGCTTATGTAGTGGTACTACATTCATCAACCAATCAAAAGGCAACACGTGGCATCATAATCGACCTGAAGAAGCACAACCGATCCGACCTGATATAACTCTTTCGATCTGTTCAAATCGATCTACCAGCTCGGAGTCTCGGACAACGCCAATATGGAAACATATCAAATTAGATACTGAAGATATCCGATCAGCATGCAGATTATTTATTACCTTCTTCACGCGATTACTAAATGATTTGATTTGGTAATCAAATCATGTCGGTTATCTTGAGAATCAAGGCAGATCCCTTGATCACCGCATCATCATCTTCTTTAAAACCCAAGAAATACGGTGGCTTGATCTCTAAGTTCAATATCCCCGAGCTAGAGTACGTAGGCAATTTCGATCTCAACCGAAGTGCAGCTCTTTCCATAGTCAAATCCCCTTTTGGTCAGCTCTATTCCGATCTGACCTAGAGTAGTGTTAGTCTAAATTTAGGTAAATACACCAATTTAATCATTTCTATATTTTCTGTTTATCAGCTTAATTAATTTGTCTACTACTATATATAAGCTATTTAAATTATCACCAATGGAACAACACAATCTTTTTAAACAGACAATAAGATCAAATTTCTTGGTCGAGGCAAATATTGTCCCTAAATAATAAAAATGAATAAGCCATGTTTCAAGGGAATGGATGGCTTGCCTCTTTCCTATTTATTGACACAAGATCGCGCGATCACAACACTTTAAGGTTGGTATCTTTCTTGTAATTTGCAATGACACATTGGTTAATTAATTGAAATTTTGTATGACCTAGGTCCAAGGATAACAATTATAAGAAGATTAAGCTAGTTAAAACGCACTGCAAAGTATGTAATTGCCCGAGATTGCAAAAGCTAAGGTAATCTATGCTACCATGCATGAAATTTAGTTGTAGCAGTTCAGGTGACGAGAAACCTGAGCAGTTCAGGTCTTCAGCATGGGTTTATAGAGATGATGGTTTTCGCCTGCAGGTTTAAATGGCTGCATTCAGACATCTCCACAGTACATTGTTAATTTAGTATTCCATTAGTTGATTAATTAAGAAGTCCTCGTAGCTTGGAGTCGGACTGTGCATTCTGGACAGAACCTGGTACAATGAACACAAAGATTTGTTGAAGATTAATATATATAT